TCTGTCAGTCATTTGTGCACGATGGGGACGCAGAATGATGCCACCATGGCTGAAAACTCGCTCCACTGGAGCACTAGAAGCAGGCACTGCCAAGACTCGGATGGCTACTTGAAAGAGTGAAGGAAGAGTCTTACTGTTCAGTGCCCAGAACAAAAGGGCATTCTGTCCTTCTGCCATGTCAATGTAGTGACTTAGCTGTACTGCTGGTGGGGTCCCAACATCCCTTTTCTGCCTCTTATGGTATGCAGCAAACAGCCCTTCTCCTTCCATGTCCTCTAGTTCTTCTTCAGCAGGCACCGGCACAGGCTGCTCTGTCTCTGCAGCATCTTGCAGGATCAATTCTAAAAATAAAAATAAAAACGTGTCACAACAGCAGAAACAAAAGAGCCCTTATTTCTGATGTTGATGATACTGTTCAAGACTGAAATTTTTTATTATTGTTAAAGTCAGATTAATATCACATTAGATCCTATATCAGATTAAGATCAAATTATTGTACGTTGCATTTAAGTTGCATTGCAAGTCAATAATATTTACCTTTAACTCGTTGTGCCACCTCTGCCTTGATGTCACGGTTGACCAGCACATGGGGCTCAATCCACAGCAGACAAAAGGCTGGATCCAAGGCAGCTGCTTTCAGGTAGACTGTGTCTGAAAAGGGGGCAGTGATCCCTTCTTGAGACTGGGCCATTTTTACATTAATGAAGATCCCAAGAAATCTTTTTTTCAGGGATGCCTGCAGACCTCTGACCAGGCCACTCAGGAAACGAACTTGAGGCTTCAGCTTCTCAAGATGGTGATTGAGGGACAAGATGGATGGAACAACTGCACTGATTGTAATGACTTTCTCCCCCTGTGTCAAATCAGTTGCTTCTCCGAACGGTTTTAAGATGTCCACCAACTCCTTCAGCAGATTCCACTCTCGTGGTGTGAATGACAGTTCTTTATGCCCGGCCTTCTCAAGAACTGCGCAGAGCTTTTGCTGATCACAATGAAGGACTGCTTTTACCTGCCGCAGTGTGGAATTCCACCTCGTGCTCACTGCAGCAGGGATGCCTCTGTGCTCCCCAAATTCACCATCGAAGATGTCTTTAAACGTTGTGCTTGTGTGGAGCAGGGAGCTAAGTTTTGATAACTTGGAGAGAGAAGGACATGCCGCTTTTGTTTCTTTCAAACCGTCTCCCACAACCAGCTGCAATGTGTGTGCAAAACACTGCAGGCGCTGTTTCTTTGCCATAGCAGCATCGACGGTTTGCTGGTCTTCTTGGGTTAAGTCATGCCATAGCTCAGGATCATCAAGATTATCTCCAGCATCTTCATCTTCCTCCTGTTCGCTGGGGAAGCAGACTGTAAATGCCTTGCGCATGTTAGCAGCATTGTCACTAATTATATAGTCCAATTTAGCTTTGATGTTGTATTCATCACATATTGCCTCAAATTGGTCACAGATTCGCTCTGCTGTGTGAGAGCCTTTGAAGCGGTTGCAGGCCAAGAGATTAGTCTTTAGCTGTACCCTCTCTGCATCTCGCTCCATCCAGTGCACAGTGACACCAAGGAATCCCCTCATCTTTCGATCAGACCAAATGTCCACAGTGACTGAAACATGGTCAGTGTTGCTCAATTGAGTTTTTAACTTTGACCGTCTCTCCTCAGCAAGGCTCTCTGTTTTTGTGGTCAGCGTTCGGCGACATACTGGGGTATACTTCCTGTCCAGCACAGCCAGAAAGTGACGAAAGCTCTTATTTTCCACAATAGACAGAGGGAAATTGCAATCAATAATCAAGTCAGACAGTATCGCATTGGAGATGGCCTTCTGCTGTGGGTGGGTCAGGCTGTAACGCCCTACACGAGTGTCAAGGAATTGTGAGATTGAAGGCTGTTGTGGTTCATCTACGATGATTTTGTTCATCTGGTATTCTTCATACCTGTAACAGAGAAGAATATGAAACAGATGTCAGAAAATCCTTTACAGCCACACATGTTGTATTTGAAACTACTCTTTACTCATATCAATGTTGTTGTGTTAATATTCATTGCCTATTGTACACTACGGTTTACGATAATACATTTCAGTGTCAGTGTATGCAATATTAAGAATATTTTCACTGCTTCAAAATTCATAAGAAAGCCCTTTCCCTCAAGAAACTGAAGTCATATGCTTTATAGCAGTGGTTTTCAAAGTGGGGACGGGGACCCTTGGGTGCCGCGAGGGGGTTCTAGGGGGGCCATGGCAAGTTGGCATGAAAAGTATAGAAAAACAAAATAATTGAATAAATTAAATAACTAAAGTAAACCAAATTAAACCAAAAATAAGCTAAACAATATTCCCATTAGTTAAGAACTGCACTATAATAATCTATTGCATCTCTGAACATTACTACTATAATCGTTATTATTTTATTATATACTGTATATATCCCAGTGGTGCGCTGCCTCACAGACCTACTGTAGACTACGGTAGCACTCTGTCCATGCGCTGTCTGCTGTTTGGGCATGATATGAAAAGGGAAGGCTAATGGTGGATCTACTGTGACTGTGTTATCATTTTCCTCTTTACAATGTATACGTCTTACTATGTTTCCTGTTGTACTTGGATGGGTTTAGGGATGCACCAACTACATCCGAGTTGTGAAAGGGGGTGCATTCATTGTTTAATTGTGATATTTTGTCTTCAGCGACAGTTCAGCTTAGTTGTGATTAACCAAAATTACATAAACGACCTCAATGAGGCAGCACACCAGCAACTCTGAAACTGAATTCTAAAACGCTTAACGTGAAAAACGCTTAACGTTGCTTAATGCTTAATATACTAAGACAGTAATATTATAAGACCAAACTCTGCAAATATCATATTAATAAAGCATACTATGTACAAAACATCAGATGAGCCCAGAATACATAGTAGCCTACATAAGACATGTTAAGCCTTTTCTTATAATGGTTTTCTATGGGAGGAAAACACTTAACGTGTTGTTAAACGTGTTTGCGTTCATATTCTGGCCTCATCTGATGTTTTGTACATTTAGTATACTTTATTAATATGATATTTATAGTTTGGTCTTTTAATATTACTGTCTCAGTATATTAAGACACGTTAAGCCTTTTCTTATAATAGTTTTCTATGGGAGGAAAACGCAACGTGTTATTAAACGTGTTTGCGTTCATATTCTGGGCTCATCTGATGTTTTGTACATAGTATACTTTATTAATATGATATTTACAGAGTTTGGTCTTTTAATAACACTGTCTTAGTACATTAAAGAACGTTAAGCGTTTTTCACGAAAGCGTTTTAGAATGTCCATATAATAGCAGTTCAAAAATCCATATTTTTGTAAGCATGAACCAGCAAGGGAGACGTGCGTTTGTCTCGTTGATACAGTAAATATGCAGCAGCTAGCTAGTAAGTTACGGTACATCCGATAAGGTGCGTAGCATTCGTTCAAAACTTACCTTTCTTTGTGCAACTTCAGGTGTCGAACAAAGTTGGACGTTGTGGCAGCTCCGTCTGTAATCTTCGATCCGCATGTTTTGCAGATTGCAACTCGTTTTTTGTCGACTACCTCGTAATTTTTATAGCCAAACCAAACTATCTTCGGTATCATTTTGACAACTGGCGCGTTGTTGCTTGATGTGCTTCATTGGTTGTCTTGCAATGTGCCTGCTTAGATGCTGTCGAATCAAAACAACGTGGGACTACAGTGATTGGATAACGTGCAGGCAGCGCGCGCTCTCTGTATGCATACAGGTGGATGGTGCACATTTTTTTCACAGATGCAGATAAACGGAGAGCGGCGCGGCCGTGTGAAAAATTTTTTCCCCAGTTTTCATGGGAAGTAGCAAGTCTTCTCGAGTCATAAGGCGCAAGTCCAAGTGAAGTCACGAGTCATTGATGTTAAAGTCCAAGTCGAGTTGCAAGTCTTTGTACATTTTGTCGAGTCGAGTCTGAAGTCATCAAATTCATGACTCGAGTCTGACTCGAGTCCAAGTCACATGACTCGAGTCCACACCTCTGATATACAGTATATCTCTGGTAACGCTTTGTTTTACAGTCCCCTTTAACTTGGTATTTGCTTAGAAATAACATGGTAAAAACATCTGTTTTGTTGCAAGCATGGACTATTTGGTACCAGGTTGAAAGTCCCCATTGTTACCACAATGTCTTCATTCCAGCTGGGACAGGACTGTAAAGTAAAGCGTTACTGTATCTTTTTGCCTTGATTAATTATGAATGATCAGTTATTGATTAAGAAGGAAATATAATATCTATTTTTTGTACCTGGTCGCTCTGATGTGCCATAACTCATGTTTTCTTGCACACTGTTAATATTTTACAGTTACTTTACTGTTAAGACTTTACTGTTAATATTTTTGTGAATATTGCTGTTAAAAAATATGATATTGAAAAAGTAGACAATATGAATACAAATATGATAATAACGCCTGTGTTGTTCTGACCTGCTCCTTGTCTTCTTACACACACACACACACACACACACACACACACACACACACACACACACACACACACACACACACACACACACACACACACACACACACCTGAGAATTTTACAGGTCATTTGAAAGTGACCATAGAAGCTTCTCTAGCCTCAGATAGAATTACAACTCATTGTCAATTAAATACCATTATGTTAAATTTCTAGGCCATGTGCAATTCCCAGTCTTCTATCCTACTGTAGAAGCCCCTGATTTCCTGACATGACTTGTGGAGGGAAGGCTACAGGCCGTGTAAGGTGCAGCCCCTCCCCCGGGCTGTACATTGTAGTATGCTGCTAAAATAAGTGCTAACCACACCCACCTGGCGTGCCAGCAGAGCTCTATCAATCTCACTCTACCCGTCCTTTCCTGTATTTGAGAGTAAAAGCAGGTTGAGCGAGTCAAAGTAAGTTTCGATTTTAAGAATAGGAAAGCCACACCTACGTCTGTTTTATGGTGGAGCTGCGCGACCTGGATTTTGTGGTCGATTATGTTGTGATTGATTGCATTAGGAGTTACATTTCCACCACGATCATCAGTTACAAACGGTAAGAACTACATCACCATCATGACAATCTAAAGAAAGTTCTGCAAAAGAAGCAATTCTAACAGATATCTGTGTGGTAGTATCTATGAAAATATGACAGGTTGTTGTCTACTTTTTACATGCCTTTCGCACTTTCCTCAGTGTGTGTGTCTATACAGTGAGGTGAGGTTAATCAGTATGACCATGTTTATGTTACTATTTATTGCTGGTCTTTCTACCTCAGTTCCTTGGTGACATCATGAGTGTTGTGAGGTCCAGTCTGTCAGCAGAGCAGGAGAAGAAACTGCTGTCTCTGTTTGGCCATGTCAAACTCCACCTGCTCTACAAAGGTTTGTCGGAACAATGGACTTCATTTTAATGGAACATTTATTTTAATGACATTTCTCAGGCCAGATACCTGCATTGCAGGCAGAACAAAGTGATTGGTTGAGTAAAAGGTAATAAAGTACTTTTCTATTATGTTTTGTTCTGCTCAAAGCCAGCATCCACGGCTACATGAATTTGGCCTTCCACAGCCGATGTGATGGACAGGGACCCACCGTACTTGTGGCCTACAACAAGTCTGGGTTTGTTTTCGGAGGTTACATCAGTAAGGACTACGCCCAGACTAACCAGGAGATCAACGATGATAAGGCCTTTCTCTACAGCATCTCTGACCAGAGAGAAAAGCCACTGCGTGTGTCCAGTACCAATGGCCAGTACGGTTTCACAGATGGATACTATGGTCTTAATGTTGGTGCATTGTGGTTTCTTAATAATGACACCGCTACAGTTCAAGATGTTGCAGTGAACAGCTACACCTTTGAAGCAGACGAGATGCATGGCAATGACCTGCAGCTGACAGAGTGTGAAGTGTACAGAGTGGAAGGTGAGTGGTCCTTTTATAGCCCCTATTCCCTAGGCACTACTGAACGATTGGATACATGTAACAAATATGGCAAAACATTCTAACCAGTCAGAAGGCAAGGTGAAGCAATTACTGTATTGATTAAATCTGATTGTTTTGTTGTTTGTCTCAATTTCTGGCAGACTGTGGAGGCCTTCTGGAGACTCCTTGGAGAAACATTGACTGGGAAGGATATGGGTATGTTCAATCTCAAAAGTGGTACAAAAATCATAATATTATGCAACTACTGATGCATATAGTACTACTTCTGCTGTTCCAGTGAATATACACTACCAGTCAAAAGTTTGGACACACCTATTCATTCAAGGGTTTTTCTTTATTTTTACTATTTTTTACGTTGTAGAATAACAGTGAAGACATCAAAACTATGAAATAACACATATAGAATCATGTAGTAACCAAAAAAGTGTTAAACAAATCAAAATATATTTTATATTTGAGATTCTTCAAATAGCCGCCCTTTGCCTTGATGACAGCTTTGCGCACTCTTGGCATTCTCTCAACCAGCTTCACCTGGAATGCTTTTCCAACAGTCTTGAAGGAGTTCCCACATATGCTGAGCACTTGTTGGCTGGTTTTCCTTCACTCTGCGGTCCGACTCATACCAAACATCTCAATTGGGTTGAGGTCTGGGGATTGTGGAGGCCAGGTCATCTGATGCAGCACTCCATCACTCTCCTTCTTGGTAAAATAGCCCTTACACAGCCTGGAGGTGTGTTGGGTCATTGTCCTGTTGAAAAAGAAATTATAGTCCCACTAAGCCCAAACCAGATGGGATGGCGTAACACTGTAGAATGCTGTGGTAGCCATGCTGGTTAAGTGTGCCTTGAATTCCAAATAAATCACAGACAGTGTCACCAGCAAAGCACCCCCACACCATAACACCTCCTCCTCCATGCTTTACAGTGGGAAATACACATGCAGAGATCATCCGTTCACCCACATCGCGTCTTACAAAGACACAGAGGTTGGAACCAAAAATCTCCCATTTGGACTCCAGACCAACAGACAAATTTCCACCGGTCTAATCTCCATTGCTCGTTTTTCTTGGCCCAAGAAGGTCTCTTCTTCTTATTGGTGTCCTTTAGTAGTGGTTTCTTTGCAGCAATTCGACCACGAAGGCCTGATTCACACAGTCCCCTCTGAACAGTTGATGTTGAGATGTGTCTGTTACTTGAACTATGTGAAGCATTTATTTGGGCTGCAATTTCTGAGGCTGGTAACTCTAATGAACTTATCCTCTGCAGCAGAGGTAACTCTGGGTCTTCCATTCCTGTGGTGGTCCTCATGAGAGCCATTTTCATTATAGCGCTTGATGGTTTTTGCGACTGCACTTGAAGAAACTTTCGAAGTTCTTGAAATGTTCCGGATTGACTGACCTTCATGTCTTAAAGTAATGATGGACTGTCATTTCTCTTTGCTTATTTGAGCTGTTCTTGCCATAATATGGACTTGGTCTTTTACCAAACAGGGCTATCTTCTGAATCTCAAATATAAAATAGATTTTGATTTGTTTAAAACGTTTCTGGTTACTACATGATTCCATATGTGTTATTTCATAGTTTTGATGTCTTCACTATTATTCTGCAAAGCAGAAAATAGTAAAACATAAAGAGAAACCCTTGAATGTGTAGGTGTGTCCAAACCTTTGACTGGTAGTGTACTTCAGTTAATCAATCAATCAAGTCTGTCACCCATCTCTCTCTTCCTTCCTCCATCCCTCCATCCCTCCATCCCTCCATCCCTCCATCCCTCCATCCCTCCATCCCTCCATCCATCTCTAGCACCAAGGACCGCCTGATGGACTATATCAAGAACTATAAGCCTGAGGTAAAGTCTGTGGTCCAGGCCAGAGTTCTGCTGGTCGGTCCGGTCGGGGCTGGCAAGTCCAGCTTCTTCAACTCCATCAACTCTGTCTTCAAAGGACATGTTACAGGGCAGGCTAACACCGGCAGCGCAGGCAACAGCCTCACCACACAGGTACTGTGTGTGTGCGTGCATGAGTGTATGTGTGTGGCTTAAAGATGTAGTCCGGGATCTTAAATGGCAATTACGCCACTTTTCACCTCATATTAATTATCTCCAGCTCCATATCAGTGTCTACGTATGGGAAAATGGCGTGTTTCTGTGATCTGTGGTTAGAAAGATCAAATAAATGTTCAAAAAAATACTTCTCTGTGACATCACAGAGTAGGATTATAAGTTTAAAAAACACAGTGATTTTCAAAACCTGCAATGAGTTTATAGCCAGAGGGAGGGTATTTTCTTGCTCTCCACGTCACCACAAATCTCATAGTGTTTGATAATCACTGTATTTTTGTACTTTTGATGAAATTATTATTATTTATATATATATATATATATATCTACAGTGGGGAGAACAATTATTTGATACACTGCCGATTTTGCAGGTTTTCCTACTTACAAAGCATGTAGAGGTCTGTAATTTTTATCATAGGTACACTTCAACTGTGAGAGACGGAATCTAAAACAAAAATCCAGAAAATCACATTGTATGATTTTTAAGTAATTCATTTGCATTTTATTGCATGACATAAGTATTTGATACATCAGAAAAGCAGAACTTAATATTTGGTACAGAAACCTTTGTTTGCAATTACAGAGATCATGCGTTTCCTGTAGGTCTTGACCAGGTTTGCACACACTGCAGCAGGGATTTTGGCCCACTCCTCCATACAGACCTTCTCCAGATCCTTCAGGTTTCGGGGCTGTCGCTGGGCAATACAGACTTTCAGCTCCCTCCAAAGATTTTCTATTGGGTTCAGGTCTGGAGACTGGCTAGGCCACTCCAGGACCTTGAGATGCTTCTTACGGAGCCACTCCTTAGTTGCCCTGGCTATGTGTTTTGGGTCGTTGTCATGCTGGAAGAACCAGCCACGACCCATCTTCAATGCTCTTACTGAGGGAAGGAGGTTGTTGGCCACACATGGCCCCATCCATCCTCCCCTCAATACGGCGCAGTCGTCCTGTCCCCTTTGCAGAAAAGCATCCCCAAAGAATGATGTTTCCACCTCCATGCTTCACATTTGGGATGGTGTTCTTGGGGTTGTACTCATCCTTCTTCTTCCTCCAAACACGGCGAGTGGAGTTTAGACCAAAAAGCTATATTTTTGTCTCATCAGACCACATGACCTTCTCCCATTCCTCCTCTGGATCATCCAGATGGTCATTGGTAAACTTCAGACGGGCCTGGACATGCGCTGGCTTGAGCAGGGGGACCTTGCGTGCGCTGCAGGATTTTAATCCATGACGGCGTAGTGTGTTACTAATGGTTTTCCTTGAGACTGTGGTCCCAGCTCTCTTCAGGTCATTGACCAGGTCCTGCCGTGTAGTTCTGGGCTGATCCCTCACCTTCCTCATGACATTTTACATTTACATTTACGTCATTTAGCAGACGCTCTTATCCAGAGCGACTTACAAATTGGTGCATTCACCTTATAGCCAGTGGGTTAACCACTTTACAATGTTATTTTTTTATTTTTTTATTTTTTTTGGGGGGGGGTGGGGTAAGGGTGGGTAGAAGGATTACATTATCCTATCCCAGGTATTCCTTAAAGAGGTGGGGTTTCAAATGTCTCCGGAAAGTGGTGAGTGACTCCGCTGTCCTGGCGTCGTGAGGGAGCTAGTTCCACCATTGGGGTGCCAGAGCAGCGAACAGTTTTGCCTGGGCTGAGCGGGAACTGTGCTTCAGCAGAGGTAGGGGAGCCAGCAGGCCAGAGGTGGATGAACGCAATGCCCTCGTTTGGGTGTAGGGACTGATCAGAGCCTAAAGGTACGGAGGTGCCGTTCCCCTCACAGCTCCGTAGGCAAGCACCATGGTCTTGCAGCAGATTCGAGCTTCAACTGGAAGCCAGTGGAGTGTGCGGAGGAGCGGGGTGACGTGAGAGAACTTGGGAAGGTTGAACACCAGACGGGCTGCGGCATTCTGGATGACCATTGATGCCCCACGAGGTGAGATCTTGCATGGAGCCCCAGACCGAGGGTGATTGACCGTCATCTTGAACTTCTTCCATTTTCTAATTATTGCGCCAACAGTTGTTGCCTTCTCACCAAGCTGCTTGCCTATTGTCCTGTAGCCCATCCCAGCCTTGTGCAGGTCTACAATTTTATCCCTGATGCCCTTACACAGCTCTCTGGTCTTGGCCATTGTGGAGAGGTTGTAGTCTGTTTGATTGAGTGTGTGGACAGGTGTCTTTTATACAGGTAACGAGTTCAAACAGGTGCAGTTAATACAGGTAATGAGTGGAGAACAGGAGGGCTTCTTAAAGAAAAACTAACAGGTCTGTGAGAGCCGGAATTCTTACTGGTTGGTAGGTGATCAAATACTTATGTCATGCAATAAAATGCAAATGAATTACTTAAAAATCATACAATGTGATTTTCCGGATTTTTTTTTTAGATTCCGTCTCTCACAGTTGAAGTGTACCTATGATAAAAATTACAGACCTCTACATGCTTTGTAAGTAGGAAAACCTGCAAAATCGGCAGTGTATCAAATACTTGTTCTCCCCACTGTAGATATATTGCATTTTTAAACATACAATCTATCTGCAGTGAAGCTGCTCAACATTTACATTACGTTCAGTCATCTAGCAGACACTCCCATCCAGAGTGACCCACAGGACCAACCAGGGTCAAGCACCCCGGCCAAGGGCACATCAACAAATCTCCCACCAAGTCGAATCGGGGACCCGAACCAGTGACCTCTCGGCCACTGGCTCAAGATCCCAACTGCCAGGCCACCAACCATCCAAGACCCTCCCACAGTTCCCCCCGAGAACTGCCCCTCAACCATCCAAGACCCTCCCACAGTCCCCCCGAGAGCTGCCCCTCAACCATCCAAGACCCTCCCACAGTCCCCCCGAGAGCTGCCCCTCAACCATCCAAGACCCTCCCACAGTCCCCCCGAGAGCTGCCCCTCAACCATCCAAGACCCTCCCACAGTCCCCCCGAGAGCTGCCCCTCAACCATCCAAGACCACCCCCCACTGCATAGAACAAGTAGAACTTTTTAACTTTCTATTTTTTTCTACAAAACGAAGAAATGCGTTGTTTTAACATATGTAATGAACATGAGGTTGAAAAGCGGTGGAATTGCTCTTTAAGCACTTACAAAACATATTGTATGTTGTGCAACATTTTCAGGGACCCATTTTGGCTCGTGAACACTACTTTCAAAACTACTGGTTATACAAAACCTCTGGAGCATCACTATTGTACTGGACTTAACATTCCAACTCTCTCTCTCTGTAGTTCCGTACCTACAGCATCAAGGCAGAGCAGGGTGGGAAGGCTCTCCCTCTGGTCCTATGTGACACCATGGGCCTGGAGGAAGGACCCAGCGCAGGGCTGGATATAGATGACATCACCAGTATCCTGAAGGGCCACGTACAAGACCGGTACCAGGTGAGTAAAACTGGCAAATGGTAGCAGTGGTGGCTGGTGGAGGAAGATAGAATGAATAGAAATGTATCAAAAAGATGATTTCATATGTTTGATACCAATCATTCCAGGCATTACAATGAGCCTGTCCTCCGACTTAAAGTTGCACCAGCCTCATGGTAGGAAAAGCATGTGGTTGATAGTAGCAATAGCAGTAGCAGTAGCAGTAGAAGTAGTAGTATTCAGTGTATTCAGAAGGTATTCAGACCTCTTGACTTTTACCACATTTTGTTAGGCTACAGCCTTATTCTAAAATTGATAAATTCGTTTTTTTTCCCCTCATCAATCTACACACAATACCCTATAATGACAAAGCAAAAACAAATCTTTAGAAATGTTTGCAAATGTATTAACAATAAAAAACTGAAATATCACATTTACATAAGTATTCAGAACCTTTACTCAGTACTTTGTTGAAGCACCTTTGGCAGTGATTACAGCCTCGAGTCTTCTTGGGTATGACGCTACAAGCTTGGCACACCTGTATTTGGGGAGTTTCTCCCATTCTTCTCTGCAGATCCTCTCAAGCTCTGTCAGGTTCGATGAGGAGCGTTGCTGCACAGCTATTTTCAGGTCTCTCCAGAGATGTTCGATCGGGTTCATGTCCAGGCTTTGGCTGGGCCACTCAAGGACATTCAGAGACTTGTCCCGAAGCCACTCCTGCATTGTCTTGGCTGTGTGCTTAGGGTCGTTGTCCTGCTGGAAGGTGAACCTTTTCCCCAGTCTGAGGTCCTGAGCGCTCTTGAGCAGGTTTTCATCAAGGATCTCTCTGTACTTTGCTCCGTTCATCTTTGCCTTGATCCTGACTAGTCTCCCAGTCCCTGCCGCTGAAAAACATCCCCACAGCATGACGCTGCCACCACCATGCTTCCCCGTAGGGATGGTGCCAGGATTCTTCAGACGTGACGCTTGGCATTCAGGCCAAAGAGTTCAATCTTGGTTTCATCAGACCAGAGAATCTTGTTTCTCATGGTCTGAGAGCCTTTAGGTGCCTTTTGGCAAACTCCAAGCGGGCTGTCATGTGCCCTTTATTGAGGAGTGGCTTCCGTCTGGCCACTGTGGAGGAAATTGATATCCATTACATACTATACTGTTTAATTAGACATACTATGCTGTTTTTTACTTAAAGATTGTCCATTGTTATATTCTAGTATTATTTACTGATACAAACTTGTCATGTGTGATAAATCTGAGCGTACAGATTTATGAGTCATTTGGGTGCGACCGCAGTATGTGACCTCCTGTCTTAACGATCGGCAGGAATGTAGCTACGTGGGAATTGCAGGGAGGAACAGAGAATGGTGGCGATACAACTCTGTTCCCAGGGCCTGTTCTGCACATCTGCTAACAGTCACATAGATACGAGGATATACTTTCTATAAAAGGAGAGAGACCACTCTGTTCATTGAGCTTTTCAACCATGAACCATTTGAGTGGTTGTTGATTGCTTCATTTTTGCAAATCTTATAATAAAGTTGTTGCTTGAAAGAATCTGCAGTCGCTCTTCCAAAATAATTTCTACCATGCCACTCTACCATAAAGGCCTGATTCGTGGAGTGCTACAGAGATGGTTGTCCTTCTGGAAGGTTCTCCCATTTCAACAGAGGAACTCTAGAGCTCTGTCAGAGTGACCATTGGGTTCTTGGTCACCTCTCTGACAAAGGCCCTTCTCCCTCGATTGCTCAGTTTGGCCGGGCGGCCAGCTCTAGGAAGAGTCTTGTTGGTTCCAGACTTCTTCAATTTAAGAATGATGGAGGCCACTGTGGTCTTGGGGACCTTCAATGCTACAGAAATGTTTTGGTACCCTTCCCCAGACCTGTGCCTCGACACAATCCTGTCTCGGAGCTCTACAGACAATTCCTTCGACCTCATGGGTTGGTTTTTGCTCTGACATGCACTGTCAACCGTGGGACCTTATATAGACAGATGTGTGCCTTTCCAAATCATGTCCAATCATTTGAATTTACCACAGGTGGACTCCAATCCAGTTGTAGAAACATCTCAAGGATGATCAATGGAAACAGGATGCACCTGAGCTCAATTTTGAGTCTCATAGCAAAGGGTCTGAATACTTATGTAAATAAGGTATTTCTGTTTTTTATTTTAAATAAATTAGAAAACATTTCTAAAAACCTGTTTTCGCTTTGTCATTATGGGGTATGGTGTGTAGATTGCTGAGTGGAAAAAAATATTTAATCATATTTAGAACAAGGCTGTAACGGAACATAATGTGGAAAAGTCAAGGTGTCTGAATACTTTCCGAAGGCACTGTCTTTATCTTGAGGGCTGATGTCCTGTTTCTCTCCCCCAGTTCAACCCGTCCATGTCTGTCCAGGCGGATGGTGTTGGGTACTGTAAGTCGCCCAGCCTGAAAGACATGATCCACTGTGTGGTCTACGTACTGGACGCCTGCAAGGTCACTCTGCTCTCTACCAAGATGGTGGACAAGCTCGCCGCCATCCGCAAGGGGATCAACAAGCTGGGTAAGGAAGGAAGTGAGTGTTTGCGTGTCTGTGCGTGTCTGTGCATGTGTGTGTGTTAACATGTTTTTTGTGTCACTAGGTGTTCCCCAGCTGGTCCTGCTTACTAAGGTGGATGAGGCCTGTCCTCTAGTGAGAGAAGACCTGACCAACGTCTACCTCAGCCACTACATAGAGAGGATGGTGAGTGCATGGCTGAGTCTGGAATGAATCACTATTCACACATAGTACACCACGTTTACTTAACGTCAACCATATGTGTGTCTGTGTGTGTGTGTGTGTGTGTGTGTGTGTGTGTGTGTGTGTGTGTGTGTGTGTGTGTGTGTGTGTGTGTGTGTGTGTGTGTGTGTGTGTGTGAGTGAATGTGTGTGCGTGAATGTGTGTGCGTGTGTGTGCATGCATTTGTGTGTGTCTGCACGTGTGCTCATATGCCGTGTGTGTGTGTGTTTGTTTCAGACCCGCGAGGTGAGTGTTTGTCTGGGTGTGTCCCAGTCGTGTGTCCTGCCAGTGAAGAACTACAGTCGTGAGTTTGAGTTGGACATCCACACAGACATCCTCCTGCTCACTGCCGTGGTCCAGATGCTTCGCTACACTGACGACTACTTTGATGATCAGGCTGGGGACCAGAAGTCTGAGTGACTAGGGGTGTAGGTGTGTTACTGATCTGAAGTCAGTTTTGGGTTTGACCTTCTAATGGTTAAGGTTAGGATCAGGGCAATACACTGATCCTAGATGTGTTTAAATGGTAACTTTTAGTTATTGCTTTATAAACCTTTTTATCTTAATTCTCCGAGGCTATTCCATTCTGACTTTCCCAGTTACAATTTTCACTGAGTATAGAAAACATTAGGAACACCTTCCTAATATTGATGTCCTTTGGGTGGTGGACCTTTCTTGATACACATGGGAAACTGTTGAGTGTGAAAAACCCACCTGCGTTTCAGTTCTTGACACAAACCGGTGTGCCTGGCACCTACTACCATACCTCATTCAAAGGCACTTAAATATTTTGTCTTTCCCATTCACCCTCTGAATGGCACACATACACAATCCATGTCTCAATTGTATCAAGGCTTAAAAATCCATCTTTAACCTGTCTCCTCCCCTTCATCTACACTGATTGAAGTGGATTTAAAAAGTGACATCAATAAGAGATCATAGCTTTCACCTGGATTCACCTGGTCAGTCTGTCATGGAAAGAGTTGTTCTTAATGTTTTGTTCACTCAGTGTATATTGTAATTAAATACAATATGTGTATGTAGTAAGGTTGTCTACCAACACATCTCTGCAGAGTCTGTGCTGCTATTGGTCAGATAAGACATTCAACTGTATACTGCTCATTGTACTTTGTTCAATACAGTATTTTCATATAACAACACTAATTACTGAATAAATATCTGTCACATATCTAGGGCCTGACTCACTCAGACTTGCTCTACAGTTGTCCAAACTTTCAGAAAGACAGTGAGAGATATCCAACATAAGACTCATGTAGAGATGCAGCCTGGCACAGACAGTGAGAGACATCCAACATAAGACTCATGTAGAGATGCAGCCTGGTACAAACAGCAAACAATTTTACAACAATCATTGAGTTAAAGCAGAAGAGTAAATCCTTTTAATTAAATATTAAAGGACTATGGTAAAAACATTAACCAGTAACAACAATGCTGATAATGTCTTGAATAATGAAAGTAGTGTGATGGATGATTTTATCTTGTGAAGAGACAGCCTTGAAAATGTTAATCTTGTCTTAGTGTCATAAATAATCCTTGGTTCCTGCCTGTGCTTGGTAAAGATATGAGGGGGGTCGACATGACCCCCTCCTTAGCACCATCTGGCAGAACACCCAGAATATGTCCTATAAGTTAAGATAGGAGATGGTTTTAGCCACATGCCGGAACCAACCCTATGCCTATATAACGTGTCTGTAAGCAGTATATAAAGGATCTAACGGGACTGCCCCGGGGAACTCACTTCAGACCGGTCATTTATGCATCTAAGTTTGACTGTGACCTATCCAGCTTGCTGTTAATAAACAATGATTCATTGAATATTGACTTTGAGTGTCCCTGTGTTGAATTTCCACAACAGTAGTATCTTAGAAGCTGGGGAACGGGACTATAGATGGGGAGCCCTACCTCTGGCTGACCTGGCGGAGTACAGGTGAGCTTCCTCAATCCATCTGGACCTTATTAACATGGCCGGTTAAAGTAAGGGTTTTTGGAGAAGATAGACACAGACCAACAACATATAGATGCACGAAACCTATACTTGGTCGCATTACTACATCTTACCCAGGAAATATAGGTAAGTCAAACAATCTTCTTTGAGTATGTTTACATCCACACTAATAATTCGATATTAAACTGATTATGGCAGTAGGCTGATTACGCAATAGTCATGTAAACACCTTACTCTGCTTATCTTAATTGGCGTAAAGGTCAAAATCGAAGTAAGCAAACACCTTAATCGCCGTTCCACTGGTGTATTCGCTCATCTGTGCATGTGCTAGCACCAGCCGAGCGATCCTCCGTCTTTAGTGCGAGTGAAGTGAGTTTGGAACAACTGAATGTATGCGTCTTCTAAGTAGTTTTCACATACAAACTTTACATGTCCGAACTCAGAATCAAATATTCTTCCCAAAAATAACATGGTTGCTGTGGTAGATCGTTTATTTTGATTGGCAATTTTCTGCATTTATCAGTGTGCCATCACATAGTCTGATTTCAGATGTGTCCATGCAAACAGGATTATTAGGGAAATAGTTATTCCAGGCAAAGCAAGTAAACATTTAAATCAAATTATTAAATTAATCTGACTATCCACAATAACCGCATTATTGTGTGCATGTAACAGTACTTGTCTCTGTTGACTCAGGTTTGGGGCGGGGGCTTCGATGCGTGCAGCTCTTCAGGCTCCTCTGGCTGATTTTCGAAGAAGTAGTCAGCATAGTTAAACATCTGGTTCAGAGCACTGAGCAGCAGGATATCAGTGTCCTGATCCAGATCACACTCCTGGCTGTAGTTCTTCACTGGCTGAATACAAGACACAGGAATGCTCAGGGGCGCACTCAACTCCTGGGTCTGAAAGACACACAAACACATTTAGGAATTACCTTAAGGAATATTTCACCCAAATTACAAAATGACACATTGGTTTCCTAACCCTGTAAGCAGTCTATGGACAAGGTATGACAGCAATCGATGCATTGGTTTTATTTCCCTGGCACGGTTTCTGATTGCTCTTCTTGCGGATAGCAGCCAACTTATCCACCATCTTAGCAGACATCAGAGAAACTGCTGGCGTCCACCACGTCCTCCACACAGTGGATCTGGTCGTTCAGAGTTGCATGCTTGCGATTTCCAGATACATCCGGCTGCAAGGGAGCCATGGGGTTAAACTGTAAATGACAAACAGAGACAGACTTATGAGTCAGGGATCTTCCAGAACTGGTCCAACGTTCTAGGGTGAACTGAACTTGTTAAATATGAAAGCCTGACATCTTGCTACTTTGCTGTCAGAACTTTCTCAAGTTTCTTCTATTGTGAAAGGCAATACAACCACAGGATATCAAAGTTCAGGCAGTGTGGGATTCCATCTAGTTATGGTATATTGTCAGCATCGGCACGACTCTGTCGCCCTTTGACCATTCATAATGCTTGGTCTAATCGATCAGTTTTATGACATTCAACAAAAGATACCAACGAATGGTCCCCCTCAACCGTTTGTTTGCATTGTGCCTCTACATACCTGGTATCTGTCCTGAACGTGGCCCTTGTATATGCTGACTATGTCATCCATGTCCAAACCCTCCCCTGTAGCCTCCCCCAGGCCCATGGTGTCACACAGGACCTGGGGTAGAGGCTTACCGCCTTTCCCTGATTTAATGGAGAAGGTACGGAACTATGGAAAGACAAGATAGTCAGCACATAAAATGTTGCTTTCAGACACACACACACACACACACACACACACACACAGACACACACAGACACACACAGACACACACACACACCGTACCTGTGTGGTGAGGCTTCTGTCTGCATTGCCAGCGATGGCCTGGCATGTTTCCTCTGAAGAAAGAGTTGATGGAATTGAAGAAGCTGGACTTGCCAGCCCCGACCTGACCCACCAACAGAACTCTGGCCTGAACCACTGACTTTGCCTCAGGCCTATAGTTCTGGATGGTCTCCTTCAACTGTTCTCTATTCCTACAACTTTCAATAATAACTGAATTGCTATATTTTTGGTATGTGGTGTACAGGCATGTGTGTGGTTATGTTCAAAGACAGTAATACTTACTCAGATGTCCAAAGTGCGTTTCTCTTGAAAGGTCTGTAAATCTAATCCTGTTCATTACATTAAAAAAAGTAGAAAAAGTAGTCCGCTATAAAGGAAGTAGGGTACCATGTGAGATGTGTCCTAGGTGACTGTCACTCACCCTCCACTCTGTAGACCTCACACTCTGTCAACACCAGGTTGTTGCCATACATCTCTGCAGCATTGACTTTGTAATGATTTCCTGGGATACAACTGACCTGTGCTTTATTGCAATTCAGAAACCACAAGGCACCAACATTAGGCTGCATCTGGGAAACAGTACTGGCCATTGGTACTGGACACACGCAGTGGCTTTTCTCTCTGGTCAGACATGCTGTAGAGAAAGGCCTTATCATCGTGGATCGCCTGTCCAGTCTCGGCATAGTCCTTACTGATGTAACCTCCGAAAACAAACCCAGTCTTTTTGTAGGCCACAAGTATGGTGGGTCCCTGGCGGTTGCAGTGGTTATGGAAAGCTGAAGTCGAGTAGCAGTGGAAGCTGCCTTTGAATAGAATGGAATCAAATAGAATGTACAAATTTAGCATATTCCTTTTTATTACTTTGAAGTTTAGTTTGAACATTTATGTTTTTTATTGTAACAGAAAAGTAATTCAGGGTTTTTAATGACAACTGTTTGTAAAAGCCTGTATTAATGCTGAAAGAACAATAAACTAAAAATAGAATAGAATGGTACTTTATTACCTTTTAGTAAACCAATACATTAAGTCAACTTGAGAACAAAATTCATTAACAAGCAACAGACTGGACCTCACAGCACTGACACTCATGACGTCGACAACGAGGGACAATGATATGAACGACACCTGGTAGGAAAGACAAGCAATAAATAACATACTAAGGTTCAATAAAACATCTACACTGAACAAAAACATAAACGCAACATGTAAAGTGTTGGTTTCTTGAGCTGAAATAAAAGATCCCAGAAATGTTCCATATGCCAAAAAAGCTTATTTCTATCAATTATTTTGCACACATTTGTTTACATCCCTGTTAGTGAGCATTTTTCCTTTGCCAAGATAATCCATCGACCTGACAGGTGTGGCATATCAAGAAGCTGATTAAACTGCACAATCATTACACAGGTGCACCTTGTGCTGGGGACAATAAAAGGCCACTCTAAAATGTGCCGTTTTGTCACACAACACAATGCCACAGATGTCTCAAGTTTTGAGGTAGCTTGCAATTGGCATGCTGACTGCAGGAATGTCCACCATAGCTGTTGCCAGAAAATGTAATGTTCATTTCTCTACCATAGGCCGCCTCCAACCGCAGACCACATGTATGGCATCGTGTGGGCGAGTGGTTTGCTGATGTCAACGTTGTGAACATAGTGCCCCATGGTGGTGGTGGGGTTGTGGTATGGACAGGCATAAGATACGGACATCGAACACAATTGCATTTTATTGATGCCAATTTGAATGCACAGAGATACCATGACGAGATCCTGAGGCTCATTGCCATCACCTCATGTTTCAACATGATAATGCTGGAGTTGGTCCCCCCTTTGCTGCTATAACAGCCTCCACTCTTCTGGGAAAGCTTTCCACTAGATGTTGGAACATTGCTGCAGGGACTTGCTTCCCCCATTCTGTGAGCTTGTGTGGCCTGCCACTTTGCGGCTGTGCCTTTGTTGTTCCTAGACGTTTACACTTCACAATAACAGCACTTACAGTTGACCGGGGCAGCTCTAGCAGGGCAGAAATTAGATTAACTGACTTGTTGGAAAAGTGGCATCCTATGAATTAATGTATGAATTAATGCAATTTTAATTTTGTGTCAAATCGGCAGTTGGCAACCCATCCCTTATGGGACTAATTGACACATAAACAAACATTACAATAATTCACTGTGATAATTCAGTGATAATTCTTCTTCCGGTGTTCTCTGCAGTGCGCATCGCATAAAGAGTAAAAACAAAAGTAAAAAATATTTGTAAAATTTTTTATACATAATAGTTAATAAGGTTATCCAAACAGTAATTACAGTTGAAGTCGGAAGTTTACATACACTTAGGTTGGAGTCATTAAAACTCGTTTTTCAACCACTCCACACATTTCTTGTCAACAAACTATAGTTTTGGCAAGTCGGTTAGGACATCTACTTTGTGCATGACACAAGTACTTTTTCCAACAATTGTTTACAGACAGATTATTTCACTTATATCACAATTCCAGTGGGTCAGAAGTTTACATACACTAAGTTGACTGTGCCTTTAAAAAACTTGGAAAATTTCAGAAAATGATGTCATGGCTTTAGAAGCTTCTGACAGGCTAATTGCCATCATTTTAGTCAATTGGAGGTGTACCTGTGGATGTATTTCAAGGCCTACCTTCAAACGCAGTGCCTCTTTGCTTGACATCATGGGAAAATCAAAAGAAATCAGCCAAGACCTCAGAGAAAAAATGCAGACCTCCACAAGTCTGGTTCATCCTTGGGAGCAATTTCCAAACGCCTGAAGGTACCACATTCATATGTACAAACAATAGTACGAAATTATAAACACCATGGGACCACGCAGCCATCATACCGCTCAGGAAGGAGACGCGTTCTGTCTCCTAGAGATTAACGTACTTTGGTGCGAAAAGTGCTAATCAATCCCAGAACTACAGCGAAGGACCTTTTGAAGATGCTGGAGGAAACAGGTACAAAAGTATCTATATCCACAGTAAAACAAGTCCTATATCGACATAACCTGAAAGGCCGCTCAGCAAGGAAGAAACCACTGCTCCAAACCGCCATAAAAAATACAGACTACGGTTTGCAACTGCACATGGGGACAAAGGTCTTACTTTTTGGAGAAATGTCCTCTGGTCTGATGAAACAAAAATAGAACTGTTTGGCCATAATGACCATCGTTATGTTTGGAGGAAAAAGGGGGTGCCTTGCAAGCCGAAGAACACCATCCCAACCGTGAAGCCCGGGGGTGGCAGCATCATGCTGTGGGGGTGCTTTGCTGCAGGAGGGACTGGTGCACTTCACAAAATAGATGGCATCATGAGGAAGGAAAATTATGTGGAAATATTGAAGCAACATCTCAATACATCAGTCAGGAAGTTAAAGCTTGGTCGCAAATGGGTCCAAGCATGCTTCCAAAGTTGTGGCAAAATGGCTTAAGGACAACAAAGTCAAGGTATTGGAGTGACCATGACAAAGCCCTGACCTTAATCCTATAGAAAATTTGGGGGCAGAACTGAAAAAGCGGCCTACAAACCTACAAACCTACAAACCTGACTCAGTTACACCAGCTCTGTCAGGAGGAATGGGCCAAAATTCACCCAACTTATTGTGGGAAGCTTGTGGAAGGCTACCTGGAACGTTTGACCCAAGTTAAACAATTTAAAGGCAATGCTACCAAATACTAATTGAGTGTATGTAAACTTCTGACCCACTGGGAATGTGATGAAATAAATAAAAAGCTGAAATAAATCATTCTCTCTACTATTATTCTGACATTTCACATTCTTAAAATAAAGTGGTGATCCTAACTGACCTAAGACAGGGAATATTTACTAGGATTAAATGTCAAAAATTGAGTTTAAATGTATTTGGCTAAGGTGTATGTAAACTTCCGACTTCAACTGTATGTCTCCCTTATTTTGTTTTTTTTACAGATGTTCAAAGTCAGACTGTTGGAAAAGGTCAACATACTTTTGTATGTATAGTGGCCCAATTCTAACCTTTATGCCTACTAGTTAAATAGGCTTCTAGATGTTTAATCCAGGCAAAATGACTAACTGTAAAGAAAAACCACTAGCCTACAGTAACAGAAATGACTAACTGTAAAGAAAAACCACTAGCCTACAGTAACAGAAATGACTAACTGTAAAGAAAAACCACTAGCCTACAGTAACAGAAATGACTAACTGTAAAGAAAAACCACTAGCCTACAGTAACGGGAATTGGAAACTGACACACCTGTAAGACTGCAACTGATGTGCTGTGTCTTTACTCCGTCGAGGCAAACAACAACAGTGTCAAGTAAATCATTCACTTCAGGTCATAAACTAATATATTTAATCAATAATTGTCTTCAAAATATTAGGCATGAAGTCCACCAGCAACCAGTGAACAGCAACCAATGCTACTTTGATATCAGAACATTCTCAAGTGTCTTTTTTCGTGAAAGGTAAAATCTTTGTTCAACCACAGGATTTCAAAGTTCAGGTAGTGTGGGATTCCATCTAGTTATGGTATAATGTCAGCATTGGCATGGCTTGGTCGCCCTTTGACCAATCAGAATGCTTGGTCTAAACGATACATTTTATTACATTCAACAAAAGATAACAATGAATGGTCCTCCTAAACCGGTTGTCTGCATTGTGCCTCTACATACCTGGTATCTGTCCTGAACTATGGTATGAAAGACACCTGGTAGGAAAGACAAGCATTAAATAGCATACTAAGGCTACATTCTACTGGTTTTCCACATACCTCAGAGAGAGAAACTCCTGCTTTGAAATAGACTAGAGGAAAAACTCTGGGCCCCAGTTCTGAGACAGAAAAGACAGAAAGAAAAACTCTGGGCCCCAGTTCTGGGACAGAAAAGACAGAAAGAAAAACTCTGGGCCCCAGTTCTGGGACAGAAAAGACTGAAAGAAAAACTCTGGGCCCCAGTTCTGGGACAAAAAAGACAAAGAAAAACTCTGGACCCCAGTTCTGGGACAGAAAATACAGAAAGAAAAACTCTGGGCCCCAGTTCTGGGCCAAAAAAGACTGAAAGAAAAACTCTGGGCCCCAGTTCTGGGACAGAAAAGACTGAAAGCTGGAACATACTGTACCTCAAGCTTGCCATGAGGCCGAAATGGCCCAATTCTAACCTTTGTGCCTAGTACTGTAGTTAAATAGGCTTCTAGATGTGGATTTATAGGCTAAATGACTAAATGAGTCAAATACTATCCTACAGTAACGGGAATTGGAAACTGAGTCACCTGCAAGGTTGCAACTGATGTGCTGTGTCTTTACACTGTCGAGGCAAACAACAACACTGTCAGCATAAATTAGGATAGGCTACATGCCAGTGACTGTCAGACAAATCTTGGCAGTATGGATTTATGACATCAAGTAAATAAGTCACTTCAGGTCATAAGCTAATATAGTTCACCAATAATTATGTATTCAAAGTATTAGGCATGAAATCCACCAACAACCAACGAACATCAGTACATATTGGATTAGTTCCAATGATATTAGCAGGTGCTGATATCTGAAAAGAATCCTGTTCAGACAAATAGAACACACACACACACACACACACACACAAAAGTACACATGCACAAATGCCCACACAACACAGCTGTCTTCATATCTGACTTATCTTTATTTCCTAGTGTTGACTACTTTGGTTCAGCTGGGTTGCACTGGATCAAAAGGTTAACTTTAAAGGCCCAGTGCAGTCAACATTCAGTTTTTCCTGTGTTTTATATCATATTGTACCATGGGCGCAACTTTCACGGGGGGGGGGACGACATGTCCTGCCCACATTCTGTCCCCCCCCCCAGTTTTATCATTGGAATGTGATACGAAACGAGGCTGGGTGTGCTTTAGGACCATGTGGATGCCTCTGAGGGGTCGGGTAGGCTGTTTGGAGTGTTTATCAGACTTGATAAAAACACAAATATAAGAATAATTATTATTATGTCCCCCCCATTTCTAAAACCAAAGTTGCGCCCCTGTATTGTACAACAACAGCTGATGAAACGATCAGCGTTATTTCCTGATAGTTGCTGGTTGAAAATATAATCTACACAGGACCTTCTAATCAGCAGGTTTGCATGGGCGGGAGTTTCAGCTTTCCATGGTGACATCACAATGCGGTAAATTGATTAATAGACAAAGAGAGTTCCAAACTTCTCTGCCAATAACAGCTAGTTTTCAGTTTTCCCCTCCCCACTTAAACCACTCCCAAGCAGAATTCTTGCTTGAGAAATAGTCTTGTGTGTGTGCGTGTGCGTGTGCGTGCGAGAGAGAGAGAGAGCGAGAGCGAGAGAGAGAGAGAGAGAGAGAGAGAGAGAGAGAGAGAGAGAGAGAGAGAGAGAGACGTGTGTTCTTTAAGTGGTCTGATGAGATTAGCCTGTGCTGTAGAGTCTCAGGCCTGCTCACTGTGTACACAGGTATCCTGGACCAAATGACCAAATGAGAGGTTAGGCATACACACACCCAAGAGGAAATTGGATGCTGATTAAAGATTGGTCTCAACAGCCAGGGGCTGTGACCTGTGATTATTGGAAAGAGGTGAACAGAGTTGTTCTATCAGACAACGCCTCCCCATCACATCATCCTCTGGCGCGTGTATGTGCGTGTGACGCTCTCCGGTCAGTGGTTACCTCTGTCGCTCGGCTCATGTCAGTGGTCATACATATTACAGTAGTCATACATATTACAGTAGCTGTATGATGTCAGCAAACTCTATAAAATCAAGCCCCCGCGTCTATCACCCCGAATTATAGCCCACTTCACCCGCCCAGTGTTCACCAAGCCCCTGCTAACCACCTGCAGAGGCTCCGCTGTATCTCCATCCCTTCTGGTTGTTTCAGCACCATGGCCAGCGTTCTACTGCTCTTCCTCGCCGCCTCCTGCTGCACGTGTCTCTGTATTGCTGAAGGCGACACCTCATTGGAGTTTGAGACTCGCGCTCTAGAGTTCCCCCACAAATCGCAAGAAGAGAAGGATCTGGTAAGTTTTAATTTTTTTATGTTTGTGAAGTTGTTTGGTTTGTGCGTTTGTCAGTGTGTTAGTTTAGCCTATGCATCCCTCTCTTTTTACTTGTTTTCTAGCTATATCTATATCAGCCCATCGTTTTTGTTTTTCTCTGTCATGTAGATTGAAGCTTTGCAAGAGGTTCTGGAGAAACTGAAGAACAAACAGATGCCGTTATCAGAGAAGAAGCTCGGCTGGCTGCCGTCGGTAAGAATAGACATGGTCAACCATTTTAAAGTGGTTAAAGTCCTATTATCAACCGTTTTTGAAGTAGTTAACCTGTCTGTGTCAGGCATTTTATTTCTTCATTGACTCTAGCCTTATATTGCGTGTTTTTCTATATAGTTTAGGAGTTGCTAGGATTAATCTGGTTCTGGGAAGTCCGGCGTAGATGTGTCAGAATCAAATAGTATGGAGACAGATGCCACACCATCATCATCAAATTAAAAAAAGTAACTGTTTGTTTGTTTCCAGTGTGACGCGGGCGAGCAGTGCGCTGTTCGCAAGGGTGCGCGTGTCGGAACGCTGTGCGGGTGTCCGCGTGGGACGACCTGCAACTTCTATGTTCTTAAGTGTTTGTAAGAAGAGGAGAGGAGAAAAGGATAAACAGCGAAATAGGAGAGAGAGAACACAAGCTTTTGCCTCATTCAGCGGAGCACATTCAGATTGTGGAACGTTGTATTGTATGATGAACAAACATGTCTCTATCTGACATGTAGAGTAAATAGGAATCGTGTCAGCTTTACTTTCAGTATGTTGCCCCCTCCTGTCCTGAACGTGACCCTGGTGTGTGTAATGGGGGGTTTGTTGTCTAACTTAAAGGTAGTATCCCAAATAACAATCTATTCCCTATAATGCACTATTTTGGCCAGAATCCTGTGTGTCAGTCCTATGTTGCTCTGGTCAAAAGTATTGCACTTTATAGGGAATAGAGTGTCATTTAAGACGCAGCTCAACTTGTTCCCTTCATCTGTGCTCCATTCTGTCTCGTCTATTTTGACTAAGTACAAAGAAATTCAATGTGATTAATAAAGTCCTTGTTTATAAGATGATTTACAGTTTTATTTATGGCTTTGGTGCAATTTTCACAAGTAGGCAATGTGGTACATTTTTACTACTCTTTGTACAAAACTCAAAACAGATCATCAAAAAGGCAGTTGTTTCAAAACTTTAAGCAGATTTTCAATTGACTAAGTATAACACACAAAATCATACAGTCTCATTTTCACCAAACTTAATCAGTGTTTCATCTAGAAATATGTTTCACATTGCAATACATGTTCGTCTTAACGTAATTGCCTTTCACAATATAATGCTAACTTTTTATATGAGTTTCTTCTCTTTTGTTAACATACATTTTACTATTACTTGATATTATATTTCTTATTATTATAATTATATTATTATTACTTAATCAGACTGATCTAAATTGATGATCAGTTACATGTTTGGTAAACCTATACCTTACACAACTAGCTCTCACAGTCTCACTTCAGAATTAGACGTTCATCCATGTTTCACAAACGTCAAATTTCGAAGTTGTTTGCGAACGTCAAATTTCAAGGTATTTAAGGTTAAGTTTAGGCATTAACTCCGAAATATTAAGGTTAGGCATGAACTCCAAATGGTTAAGGTAAGGGTTAAGGTTTGGGATAGGCTGGAAACAATCTCAAAAACAACTTTCTATTGCTGGATTTGAACTTCCAACCTTTGGAATCAGAGGCAGATGCTTACGAAAACCGAAACCTACTTGAAGGTAACAGTGCTCACTGTTGCCCCTAGTGGCCGGTTTCCACGTCATCTCACGACATCCTCAGACATGGATGGATGTCGAATACTGACTTGTATCACGGGTGACCTGGCTGACTTTACATGTGAACTGGTTTGTCTACTACAGATTTCGAGAACTACTTAATGAAAATGCATGTCTGTAAAGTAGAAAGTATGATATATACTCGAATGTACTACTATGATGATGACTATTATGATTTTACTTCACAGTAAGATTGAAAAAGATCTGATATTGACAAGATCAGAGACGTACTATTATGTAACAAATCAAATCACAATCAAATCAAAACATGTATTTACAACGAAAGGTTTTGAATGTAAGACTGGGTGCATTAAAAGTGGTAACAGTTTGGAGTTTTGTTCTAAGAGTTTAGAAAATTCACCACATTTTTGGGGGGGATTTTTATAATCATGTGTCTGTCTGGAAGTTGGTGTGTGTGTGTGTGTGTGTGTGTGTGTGTGTGTTTGCATTTGCATGTGTGTGCATGCAGAAAGGAGTGTTAGCACTGGAAAGTACAGTTTGATAATTGGATTCAGTTATTCACACGTTTTATGAAAGGGACAACCCAACGCAGCCAAAGTAATACATAAAACACACATAATACTCCTGTACAAGAAAAGATTGAAAGTAAAAAATGACACAAACAAATAAAACCAAAATAGGGACTAGAATGCAGAAACAAACAGTCACCAAGAGACATATATAATCATTCCAATACATATATGTATACCCTTGTAATGATGTCTGTCATAGTATTGTGAGGACAGAGGTAGAGTTACGAGATAAGTGGTTTGGGGTCATGAAGTCTACATTCCTTATGTCAAGGTAGATTAGTGATGTTTAGGATAGCATGAGTGATGAGCAGGATAGTGACTTGGGGTAAAGAGTGATGAACATCAAAGACAGGGAGTGCCCATGGAGACTTACCAGATGTATGCCAGGAAGAGGGTAACAGAAGGTATATAAGGTAGAGTGTTTCCTTTGTTCAAGTTAGTTCAACTGACGAAGGGCAAAGCCATGTCCGTTTGTTAGATGAACCTACGAGCTCATGATCCAATAAATACTTGGTATAAAATCTCCACAGAATGTCTAAGTAAATTCTTGCATCTTGAACTTCTCAACATCATAATAACCCTCAATCTGTCCTCTTGCTGTCCCTCCCCCTCCCTTCCATCTCTCTGTCAGACGTCTCCCCCCCTGGCCTCCCTGGGGGCCCATGACAGTCTCCTGGAACTCCAGGCTGAGAGGGGAAGGCCATGGAGAGAACGCCCCATCGCCGAGGCTCTCCCCCTGGGTAGGCTGCTGCTCTGCAGGCCCCCTCCGGCTGACCGTATGGAGCTCACAGTCTTACTGAGCCAGCTGTTCCTAGCTGTCTGGAGATCACGTTGCAGCACCCCCTTCTGGTGCTCTAGCTCCTACACAGGGGACAACACAACACATCATATGTCACTATGGAGTGTGTACTGTGCACATAAAAGTGTGTACTGTGCATTAAGGAGTATGTACTATGAAGTACAGTGGGGAGAACAAGTATTTGATACACTGCCGATTTTGCAGGTTCTCCTACTTACAAAGCATGGAGAGGTCTGTAATTTTTATCATAGGTACACTTCAACTGTGAGAGATGGAATCAAAAATCCAGAAAATCACATTGTATGATTTTTAAGTAATTCATTTGCATTTTATTGCATGAAGTATTTGATACATCAGAAAAGCAGAACTTAATATTTGGTACAGAAACCTTTGTTTGCAATTACAGAGATCATACGTTTCCTGTAGGTCTTGACCAGGTTTGCACACACTGCAGCAGGGATTTTGGCCCACTCCTCCATACAGACCTTCTCCAGATCCTTCAGGTTTCGGGGCTGTCGCTGGGCAATACAGACCTTCAGCTTCCTCCAAAGATTTTCTATTGGGTTCAGGTCTGGAGACTGGCTAGGCCACTCCAGGACCTTGAGATGCTTCTTACTCCTTTGTTGCCCTGACTGTGTGTTTCGGGTCGTTGTCATGCTGGAAGACCCAGCCACGACCCATCTTCAATGCTCTTACTGAGGGAAGGAGGTTGTTGGCCAAGATCTCGCGATACATGGCCCCATCCATCCTCCCCTCAATACGGTGCAGTCGTCCTGTCCCCTTTGCAGAAAAGCATCCCCAAAGAATGATGTTTCCACCTCCATGCTTCACAGTTGGGATGGTGTTCTTGGGGTTGTACTCATCCTTCTTCTTCCTCCAAACACAGCGAGTGGAGTTTAGACCAAAAAGCTCAATTTTTGTCTCATCAGACCACATGACCTTCTCCCATTCCTCCTCTGGATCATCCAGATGGTCATTGGCAAACTTCAGACGGGCCTGGACATGCGCTGGCTTGAGCAGGGGGACCTTGCGTGCGCTGCAGGATTTTAATCCATGACGGCGTAGTGTGTTACTAATGGTTTTCTTTGAGACTGTGGTCCCAGCTCTCTTCAGGTCATTGACCAGGTCCTGCCGTGTAGTTCTGGGCTGATCCCTCACCTTCCTCATGATCGTTGATGCCCCACGAGGTGAGATCTTGCATGGAGCCCCAGACCGAGGGTGATTAACAGTCATCTTGAACTTCTTCCATTTTCTAATTATTGCGCTAACAGTTGTTGCCTTCTCACCAAGCTGCTTGCCTATTGTCCTGTAGCCCATCCCAGCCTTGTGCAGGTCTACAATTTTATCCCTGATGTCCTTACACAGCTCTCTGGTCTTGGCCATTGTGGAGAGGTTGGAGTCTGTTTGATTGAGTGTGTGGACAGGTGTCTTTTATACAGGTAACAAGTTCAAACAGGTGCAGTTAATACAGGTAATGAGTGGAGAACAGGAGGGCTTCTTAAAGAAAAACTAACAGGTCTGTGAGTGCCGGAATTCTTACTGGTTGGTAGGTGATCAAATACTTATGTCATGCAATAAAATGCAAATGAATTACTTAAAAATCATACAATGTGATTTTCTGGATTTTTGTTTTAGATTCCGTCTCTCACAGTTGAAGTGTACCTATGATAACAATTACAGACCTCTACATGCTTTGTAAGTAGGAAAACCTGCAAAATCGGCAGTGTATCAAATACTTGTTCTCCCCACTGTATGTACTGTGAACATGTGCAATATGAAGTGTGTAGTGTACACTCTGAAGTGTGTAGTGTGCACTCTGAAGTGTGTAGTGTACACTCTGAAGTGTGTAGTGTGCACTATGAAGTGTGTAATGTACACTCTGAAGTGTGTAGTGTGCACTATGAAGTGTGTTGTGTGCACTATGAAGTGTGTAATGTACACTCTGAAGTGTGTAGTGTACACTCTGAAGTGTGTAGTGTACACTATGAAGTGTGTAGTGTACACTCTGAAGTGTGTAGTGTACGCTATAAGCTGACCTGGATCTTGCACTTGGCCTCCACCATCTGTAGTTTAGTCTGGGCCAGCTCCTTCTCCAGCTCTGTGACCTGGCCACTCAGACACACCTTCTCCTGGTCTTGTTCCCTGCTACCAGTAGTCTGCTGGTCTTGTTCTGTTTCCTGGTCTCTCTGCTGGTCTGGTTCTCTGGTGCTGATACTTCTCTGGTCCGGGGCTGTGGAACCGGAGCCTTCCATGATAGGAGAATCTAGAGCCTGTCGGCAGCGAGAACACGCCAGCACAGCATTCTGAGAGAGGAAGGAGAGGGGTGGGAGGGGTGTGACAAGAGAGAGTTCAAAAGTGTTTTATTATGAACATGCAGAGTGAGGGGTGATATCCATTCGGAACAAATTACATCATTAAACTGTGTGATTGTCAAACTGTGACATCATCAGATGGTGCCATACAGTATTCATCCTCACCCTGAGTTTGTCCAGGTCCTCTTGATGTGCTGCCTGCTGTCTCTCCACCTGACTGGTCAGCTGGGAACAGATCTGACAGACAGAGGGAACAACATAGTATTAGGATTGTGTGTGTTTGTGTGTGTGTGTGTGTGTGTGTGTGCGTGCGTGTTGTACCTGTTTGTAGTCTGAGATGATGCCTGAGCTCCTCTTCACCTCTGGATCGGCTTTGTCCAGCTCTTTCCTTAACACCTCCTTCAACTGTGAAACGGTAAATAGATTAAATTAAATTAAATATTTCATTATTACCCATAAATAGAATACAATATTACATTATTACCATAAATAGAATACAATATTACATTATTACCCATAAATAGAATACAATATTACATTATTACCATAAATAGAATACAATATTACATTATTACCATAAATAGAATGCAATATTACATTATTACCATAAATAGAATACAATATTACATTATTACCATACATGGAAGTATGTAAACATACAGGACGGATGGATAGAATAGAAGAGATTACCTGAGCAGCCTCCTCCTCCTTCCCTCTCTTCTCTACCTCCGCGTCCTTCAATCTCTTTCTGGTCTTCAGCAGCTCTTTGGTCAGCTCATCCACTCTGTCCTCCGCCTGTGGGTACACCAACACACTCAGATGTCTGTCTGTCTGTCTGTCTGTCTGTCTGTCTGTCTGTCTGTCTGTCTGTCTGTCTGTCTGTCTGTCTGTCTGTCTGTCTGTCTGTCTGTCTGTCTGTCTGTCTGTCTGTCTGTCTGTCTGTCTGTCTGTCTGTCTGTCTGTCTGTCTGTCTGTCTGTCTGTCTGTCTGTCTGTCTGTCTGTCTGTCTGTCTGTCTGTCTGTCTGTCTGTCTGTCTGTCTGTCTGTCTGTCTGTCTGTCTGTCTGTCTGTCTGTCTGTCTGTCTGTCTGTCTGTCTGTCTGTCTACACAAGTGCCTATGGAGATAGGGGCCAGGGGAGTATCTAGGAGGTAGGCGCTAGATTAGATTACATTCTTAGAAAAAAAGGTGCTATCTAGAACATTAAACAGGAGAAGCCTTTGAATAACTATTTTTGGTCCAGGTAGAACCCTTTTGCGTTCCATGTAAAACCCTTTTCACCTGGAACCAAAAAGGGTTCTCCTGTGGGGACAGCCGAAGAACGTTTTTGGAACTCTTTTTTCTAAGAGTGTAGAAAATGTTATTGTCCATAGGGAAAGTGCAAATGAGGTAGGAGGCTAGGGGAAGTGCCTACAGTTAGAGGGCTGGGGGAGTGCCTAGGAGGTAGGGGGCTAGGGGGAGTGACTAGGAGGTAGGGGGCTAGGGGGAGTGACTAGGAAGTAGGGGGCTAAGGGTTCATGTGGGGTTGATGTGGGTAGTTGAGTGGTGTACCTGGTCCAGTTCGGTCCTCAGGGAGATCTTGCTGGTGATCAGTCTGTGGGCCAGAACATCATTCTCCTGCTCCAGACGGACACTGGCCAGCTGCAGCTGACAGTTCTCCCTCTGCAGGAACACACAGAACAGAGAACACAAAGTTAGGTTCTACCTCCATAGAACGCACAGAACATGGAACACAGTTAGGTTCTCCCTATAGATTGCTCTAGAATGTGGAACAAACAGTCCGGTGGATTTGAGGGTAAAGAGAGAGAGTGCTGGTTTTGGGTGTAAGGGGGGTGCATGGCGGTGCTACCTGTTTAGGTGGGGAGGGGAGTAGTGATAGTGGGTGGGGTTCTGCTGTACCTGGTATCTGTGTATTGTTGGGTGGTGGGGTAGAGGTGGGAGGGAGGGGTTAGGTTTAATACGTATCATAGTGCTAACGGTTTGGTCCTACCTGGTATCTGTCTATGTGGTCATTCTGTTGTTGCGGCTGGTTCTCTCTCAGCTTGGCCTTCTTACTGGGAACCTGTAGAACAGCAACAGTCAAGGTTGAGTGAGAGAAAGGTCCACAGGCTCATCATACATAAACAGCAACCAAGTTTGATTGAGAGAAAGTTATATCACACAAACAGAGATGGAGTGATATGAAGTCTGAGTGACAGGAATCTAACTGATCCAGACAGAGAGAGAGAGAGAGAAAAAACAAATATACACTACCAGTCAAAAGTTTGGACACACCTACTCATTCAAGGATTTTTCTTTATTTTTTACTATTTGTTACATTGTAGAATAATAGTGAAGACATCAAAACTATGAAATAACACATATGGAATCGTTTCTTGGTAACCAAAAAAGTGTTAAACCAATCAAAATATATTTAGTAGCCACCCTTTGCCTTGATGACAGCTTTGCACACTCTTGGCATTCTCTCAACCAGCTTCATAAGGTAGTCACCTGGAATGCATTTCAATTAACAGGTGTGCCTTGTTAAAAGTTAATTTGTGGAATTTCTTTACTTCTTAATGCGTTTGAGCCAATCAGTTGTGTTGTGACAAGGTGGGGGGGGGGGGGGGTATACAGAAGATAGCCCTATTTGGTAAAATACCTAGTCCATATTATGGCAAGAACAGCTCAAATAAGCAAAGAGAAATGACAGTCCATCATTACTTTAAGACATGAAGGTCAGTCAATATGGAAACTTTCAAGAACTTTGAAAGATTCTTCAAGTGCAGTCGCAAAAGCCATCAAGCACTATGATGAAACTGGCTCTCATGAGGACCGCCACAGAAATGGAAGACCCAGAATTACCTCTGCTGCAGAGGATAAGTTCATTAGAGTTACCAGCCTCAGAAATTGCAGCCCAAATAAATGCTTCACAGAGTTCAAGTAACAGACACATCTCAACATCAACTGTTCAGAGGGGACTGTGTGAATCAGGCCTTCATGGTCAAATTGCTGCAAAGAAACCACTACTAAAGGACATCAATAAGAAGAAGAAACCTGCATGGGACAAGAAAAACGAGCAATGGACATTAGACCGGTGGAAATTTGTCCTTTGGTCTGTAGTCCAAATTTGAGATTTTTGGTTCCAACCGCCGTGTCTTTGTGAGACGCTTTGTGGGTGAACGGATGATCTCTGCATGTGTATTTCCCACTGTAAATCATGGAGGAGGAGGTGTTATGGTGTGGGGGTGCTTTGCTGGTGACACTGTCTTTGATTTATTTAGAATTCAAGGCACACTTAACCAGCATGGGCTACCACAGCATTCTGCAGCGATACGCCATCCCATCTGGTTTGGGGTTAGTAGGACAATCATTTGTTTTTCAACAGGACAATGACCCAACACACCTCCAGGCTGTGTAAGGGCTATTTTACCAAGAAGGAGAGTGATGGAGTGCTGCATCAGATGACCTGGCCTCCACAATCCCCCGACCTCAACCCAGTTGAGATGGTTTGGGATGAGTCGGACCGCAGAGTGAAGGAAATGCAGACAACAAATGCTCAGCATATGTGGGAACTCCTTCAAGACTGTTGGAAAAGCATTCCAGGTGAAGCTGGTTGAGAGAATGCCAAGAGTGTGAAAAGCTATCATCAAGGCAAAGGGTGGCTATTTAAAGAATCTCAATTATAAAATATATTTTGATTTGTTTAACACTTTTTTGTTTACTACATGATTCCATATGTGTTATTTCATAGTTTTGATGTCTTCACTATTATTCTACAATGTAAAAATAAAGAAAAACCCTTGAATGAGTAGGTGTGTCCAAACTTTTGACTGGTAGTGTAATTACTTGACACATTGGAAATAATTTACAAAAAAACAGAGCAAACTAGAATTATATTTGGCCCTAAACAGAGAGTACAGAGTGGCAGAATACCTGACCCAAAATTAAGGAAATCTTTCACTGTGTACAGACTCAGTGAGCATTGCCTTGCTATTGAGAGAAGAGAAGACACTTCCTAAGCTCCTTCCAAATATATGACCAAATTAGAGACACGTATTTCCCTCAGATTACACAGACACTGTCACACCCTGGCTATGGGACTCTAGTTGTTGAGCCAGGGTGTGTTTGTTCTATGTGGTGTGTTTCTATGTTGGGGGTTCTAGTTCGTCTATTGCTATGTTTTTCCTGAGTGACTCCCAATCAGAGGCAACGAGTGTCAGCTGTTGGCTGGTTGTCTCTGCGTTCGTCAGCCCAGATCTCCGTGGCAACCTCGACTGGGTCCAGCCTTGTAAAGAGCAGAGTGGATGGACTTGGGAACAGTTGAGGAAGAGTCTCGACTGGGTCAAGCCAAAGGAGGAGCAGAATGGCTGGAGTTGGAAGCAGGAGAGCGAGAGTTGGGCGAGAAATATAGAGGCCTGGCCCACGGGGAAGAGAGACCCCCAGAAAATTTTTAGGGGGGGCTAACGCCGTGGACGACGGGCCAGCAGGAGACCGCGGCAGAGCGGCCCAGCGGATTGGCAGAGGAGGCCGCCAGGTTACGGGGGCCACTGGTCGAAGAGGGGGTGGAAGATGTAGAGGCACGGCGAGAGTACTGGCGTGTGTTGCCAGTCCGGTCCGGCCTGTTCCTGATCCCCACGTAGGGCCAGTGGTGTGTGTTCCCAGTACGGTCCGGCCTGTTCCTGCCACTCGCACCAAGTCTACTGTGCGCATCGCCAGCTCGGCCCGGCCCATTCCTGCTCCCCGCACCAAGTCTGTGGTGCGTTTCGTCAGCCCTGTCCGGCCCGTTCCTGCTCTCCGCACCAAGTCTGTGGTGCGCGTCGCCAGCCCAGTCCGGCCCATTCCTGCTCCCCGCACCAAGTCTGTGGTGCGTTTCGTCAGCCCTGTCCGGCCCGTTCCTGCTCTCCGCACCAAGTCTGTGGTGCGCGTCGCCAGCCCAGTCCGGCCCATTCCTGCTCCCCGCACCAAGTCAGTGGTGCGTTTCGTCAGCCCTGTCCGGCCCGTTCCTGCTCCCCGCACCAAGTCAGTGGTGCGCGTCGTCAGCCCGGCACGGTCCGTTCCTGCTCCCCGCACCAAGTCAGTGGTGCGCTTCGTCAGCCCGGTTCGGCCCGCTCCTGCTCCCCGCACCAAGTCAGTGGTGCGTTTCGTCAGCCCGGCTCGGCCCGCTCCTGCTCCCTACACCAAGCCAGTGGTGTGCGTCGTCAGTCCGGCACGGCCCGTGCCTGTTCCACCAGTGGCGGGTCTGGCACCGGTCAGGTGCTGCGTCACGCCGGAGCTAGAGCAATCCGCTCCACCAGTGTTCAGTTCAGCTCTGGTCAGCAGGGCCAGACCGGACCAGGGGTACTTTGGGGGGTTAGAGAAGGAGTGGGGGTCAAGCCCGGAGCCAGAACCGCCGCCGAGGAGGTATGCCCACCCAGCCCTCCCCTGTTTTGCTCTTTTTGAGGCGCGGTCGCAGTCCGCGCCTTTAGGGGGGGGGTACTGTCACACCCTGGCTATGGGACTCTAGTTGTTGAGCCAGGGTGTGTTTGTTCTATGTGGTGTGTTTCTATGTTGGGGGTTCTAGTTCGTCTATTGCTATGTTTTGCCTGAGTGACTCCCAATCAGAGGCAACGAGTGTCAGCTGTTGGCTGGTTGTCTCTGATTGGGAGCCATATTTAAACTGTATGTTTTCCCTTTGGGTTTGTGGGTTTTTGTTCCGTGTCGGTATTTGTTACCGTTGGACGTTACGAGTCGTTTATTGTTTTGTTCGTGCTTTATTAAATAAAGTCTAACATGTTCGTTCAACACGCTGCGCATTGGTCTACTTCTCTCCCTGACGGTCGTGACAGACACACAAAGAATTCGAAAACAAATCCAATTTTGATAAACTCCCATATCTATTTGGTGAAAAAACACAGTGTGCAATCACAGCAGCAAGATTTGTGACCTGTTTCCACAAGAAAAGGGCAACCAGTGAAGAACAAAGTCCATCGTAAATACAACCCATATTTATGTTGATTTATTTTCCCTTTTGTACTTTAACTATTTGCACTTTGTTCCAACACTGTATATAGACATAATATGACATTTAAAATGTCTCTGTTATTTTGGAACTTGTGTGAGTGTAATATTTACTTTTTATTGTTTATTTCACTTTTGTTCATCTGTTTCCAATGTAAACATATGTTTCCCATGCCAAGAAAGGCCCTTGAATTGAATTAAGAGAGAGAGAGAGAAGAGCGAGAGAGAAGAGCGAGCGAGAGAGAACGCATGGAAGAAAATCATTTTCATATGTAACAGTCACACCTCCTAAAAAGATAACAACAGGTTCAATCTTTACACCTGGTGCCAATGCTTGGTAACCCTGGTCCTTGTTGTGAATGTCATCCTTTAGAGCAGGGGAGATGGTACAAGAGTTTAGTCTGCACGGCCAATAGAGGGCTGTCCTATAGATACTGCAGTAGAGGATTGTTCTTATTGTTGTTGTTGTTGTATGACCACATGCTCTACGACACAGCAGCAATTGTGTTGTGGTTGTGTAATGGTTGTGGTCTTACCATGTGTTTGGGTATGGTTGTGTTATGGTTGTGGTCTTACCATGTGTTTGGCTATGGTTGTGTTATGGTTGTGGTCTTACCATGTGTTTGGGTATGGTTGTGTTATGGTTGTGGTCTTACCGTGTGTTTGGGTATGGTTGTGTTATGGTTGTGGTCTTACCATGTGTTTGGCTATGGTTGTGTTATGGTTGTGGTCTTACCATGTGTTTGGCTATGGTTGTGTTATGGTTGTGGTCTTACCGTGTGTTTGGCTATGGTTGTGTTATGGTTGTATAATGCTTGTGGTCTTACCGTGTGTTTGGGTATAGACTCGGCCATCAGGCAGGCGAGTATCTCCTCCTCGGCCATCTGGTCTACGATGTGGGCGTCAAACGCCACCCTGATAGACACTTCTTCCATCATCCTGACACACACACACACACACACACACACAGCTGGAGGATGCAGGTCTCTACTCTCAGGTAAGTGAACCCCAGTAGGAGAGAGAAGCTCCAATTAATTAGTTGGTCAGAATTCCAACAGGTGTTCCAGTCAGACAGGTAAACTCCTTCACACAGGTAAACTCCAGTAGCAGAGAGAAGCGCTTGTTGATACACAGCTGAGCTCCCTCTAACAGGTACTGAGCTCCCTCTAACAGGTACTGAGCTCCCTCTAACAGGTACTGAGCTCCCTCTAACAGGTACTGAGCTCCCTCTAACAGGTGCTGAGCTCCCTCTAACAGGTACTGAGCTCCCTCTAACAGGTACTGAGCTCCCTCTAACAGGTACTGAGCTCCCTCTAACAGGTGCTGAGCTCCCTCTAACAGGTGCTGAGCTCCCTCTAACAGGTGCTGAGCTCCCTCTAACAGGTGCTGAGCTCCCTCTAACAGGTACTGAGCTCCCTCTAACAGGTGCTGAGCTCCCTCTAACAGGTACTGAGCTCCCTCTAACAGGTACTGAGCTCCCTCTAACAGGTACTGAGCTCCCTCTAACAGGTGCTGAGCTCCCTCTAACAGGTACTGAGCTCCCTCTAACAGGTACTCTAACAGGTACTGAGCTCCCTCTAACAGGTACTGAGCTCCCTCTAACAGGTACTGAGCTCCCTCTAACAGGTACTGAGCTCCCTCTAACAGGTACTGAGCTCCCTCTAACAGGTACTGAGCTCCCTCTAACAGGTACTGAGCTCCCTCTAACAGGTACTGAGCTCCCTCTAACAGGTACTGAGCTCCCTCTAACAGGTGCTGAGCTCCCTCTAACGGGTACTGAGCTCCCTCTAACAGGTACTGAGCTCCCTCTAACAGGTGCTGAGCTCCCTCTAACAGGTACTGAGCTCCCTCTAACAGGTACTGAGCTCCCTCTAACAGGTACTGAGCTCCCTCTAACAGGTACTGAGCTCCCTCTAACAGGTGCTGAGCTCCCTCTAACAGGTGCTGAGCTCCCTCTAACAGGTGAATTCCAACAGATGAGAGGAGGTAGTAACTCCCAGTCAGTCAGATATACACAGGTCAACACCCGGAGACAGGTTAACTCCAGCAGGTCAGAGACGGTACCTTTGAAAAACCTGGTGAGCTTCGGCAACAGGTGAAAGCCAGGTAAACTACCTCAGGTAAGAAACAGGGAAAGTCTGCTATAACTAAAACCCAGGTAGTCCAAAGGTAAAGTCCAAGGTCATAGTCCAACATGTGTATGAAACACACATAGACACAAACACACTCCAGCTAGCAGGCAGGTACAGCAGTGGACTACACACACACAGAAACACAAACATATGAAGAGTGACAGGTTTGACAGGGTTTATATATATGAGGTGTGTGTGACAGAGGCACACCTACTGCTGTCCTCCCCGCTCTCATTCTCTCACCCTCCTCTCAGTCCCTCTCTATTGCTCCCCTGTAAAGAGATTCACACTTCTCCACCCTGAAACCCCCCAACCCAGTCAACACACACATATTCATGATGTCCTGGTGTTGTCAACTGAGAGGTTCATGCTGTTCTATGCCTGGTATTTAGGATATTTACCCTGGAGTGTTTAGTGTGTGTGTGTTGTGTGTGTGTGTGTTGTGTGTGTGTGTGTGTGTGTGTGTGTGTGTGTGTGTGTGTGTGTGTGTGTGTGTGTGTGTGTGTGTGTGTGTGTGTGTGTGTGTGTGTGTGTGTGTGTGTGTGTGTGTGTGTGTGTGTGTGCGTGTGTGTGTGGTGTGCCTCTCCTCACAGTGCTATTTTCTCCAGAAGACCAGGGCTGAAAGGGGGTTGTCAGGAGTCTAAACTGGTCCTGCCAGTACAGCAATACTTACAATATATTTCAACACAACACAGAAGATGCAAACCAAAAGCTCTCTATCTTTCTCACTACGCTCTCTATCTCTTGCTTCTCGCTATATATCTCTCTTCTCTCTTCGCTATATCGCTTCTCAGATCTCTCTCGTTCTAGATATCTCTACTATCTAGATCATTCAGCTCTATCTCTCTATCTCTCTCTCTCGCCTCTATCTCTCTCTCTCTCTCTCTCTCTCTCTCTCTCTCTCTCTCTCTCTCTCTCTCTCTCTCTCTCTCTCTCTCTCTCTCTCTCTCTCTCTCTCTCTCTCTCTCTCTCTCTCAATTTCAATTTCAATTTAAGGGCTTTATTGGCATGGGAAACGTATGTTAACATTGCCAAAGCAAGTGAAGTAGATAGTAAACAAAAGTGAAATAAACAATAAATATTAACAGTAAACATTACACTCAGAAGTTTCAAAAGAATAAAGACATTTCAAATGTCATATTATGTATATATAGAGTGTTGTAACAATGTGCAAATAGTTAAAGTACAAATGGGAAAATAAATAAACATAAATATGGGTTGTATTTACAATGGTGTTTGTTATTCACTGGTTGCCCTTTTCTTGTGGCAACAGGTCACACATTTTGCAGCTGTGATGGCACACTGTGGTTTTTCACCCAGTAGATAAGGGAGTTTATCAAAATTGGGTTTGTTTTCGAATTCTTTGTGGATCGCTGTAATCTGAGGGAAATATGTGTCTCTAATATGGTCATACATTTGGCAGGAGGTTAGGAAGTGCAGTTCAGTTTCCACCTCATTTTGTGGGCAGTGTGCACATAGCCTGTCTTCTCTTGAGAGCCAGGTCTGCCTACGGCGGCCTTTCTCAATAGCAAGGCTATGCTCACTGAGTCTGTACATAGTCAAAGCTTTCCTTAAGTTTGGGTCAGTCACAGTGGTCAGGTATTCTGCCACTGTGTACTCTCTGTTTAGGGCCAAATAGCATTCTAGTTTGCTCTGTTTTTTTGTTTGTTCTTTCCAATGTGTCAAGTAATTATCTTTATGTTTTCTCATGATTTGGTTGGGTCTAATTGTGTTGTTGTTGTTGTCCTGGGGCTGTGTGGGGTCTGTTTGTGTTTGTGAACAGAGGCCCAGGACAAGCTTACTTAGGGGACTCTTCTCCAAGTTCATCTCTCTGTAGGTGATGGCTTTGTTATGGAAGGTTTGGGAATCGCTTCCTTTTAAGTGGTTATAGAATTTAACGGCTCTTTTCTGGATTTTGATAATTAGCGGGTATTGGCCTAATTCTGCTCTGCATGCATTATTTGGTGTTTTACGTTGTACACGGAGGATGTTTTTGCAGAATTCTCTCTCTTTCTATCTCACTCTCTCTCTCTCCTTTTTGTCAGTGTGCAGGGTAGTGAACTAGTCCAACAGGTAGTGAACTAGTCCAACAGGTAGTGAACTAGTCCAACAGGTAGTGAACTAGTCCAACAGGTGCAGTAACACAACAACACAGAGGATGCAACCTGAATGTTACGACTCTACAACCCCCCTTCTCTGTTCCTCCCCAGCCCTTCTGCCTCTTTCTAATCATTCTCTCTCCTCCTCTCCTCAATTCTCTCCCTTTCCCCTCAATATTCCATTGTCTCATTCTCTCTTCTCCAGCTCTACACACCCTGTCTCTTACTGCCGATATCTCAACCACAGTAAACGACTTGTAGTCCTACAGAGAGTTGTATAGATTGATCACATCTCTAAACTACAACACAGGGACGGCTCTCCAGACTAACCAGGAGCCTCTAATTAACAGAAGGAAAAACAAAGACAAACATATGAAATTGTCTTTACTTATTTTTGACCATTTATGATCCTTTGTTATTACTATTTGTTCTACTATTACCGTTTTAAAACTGCCTAGTCTGACTCCAGGTTGCAGTGCTGTCTTTGTTATTCCATCTGCCAACAACAGAGGGAGACAGGTGATCATGAACAAGTCTTGTTCACACAACTCATGGACACTACACCATGCAACTACTTTTAAAGAAAACCCACAGGATATCCAGGTTTTGTCAACGCATCATAACACTGGCATCTAGATTAGCATTGTGTTGTTGTTTATTTCTATGGGTAGGAAGTAGGAAGACCCGCTATGCGTCAGGAAGACCCGCTATGTATTAGTAATATTACACTGCTGTTACTCGCTGTTTATTATCTATGCATGGTGACTTTACAAATTACCTCGACTAACCTGTACCCCCGCACATTGACTCGGTACCGGTACATTCTGTATATAGCCTCTTTATTGTTATGTACATTTATTGAGTTACTTTTAGATGTTTTTTTTTTTTTTACTTTAGTTTATTTAGTAAATATTTTCTTAACTCTATTCTTGAACTGCATTGTTGGTTAAGGGCTCGTAAGTAAGCATTTCACGGTAAGGTCTACACCTGTTGTATTCGGCGCATGTGACATATATAATTTGATTTGATTTGATTTATTTCTGAGTCTGCTTTTAATTTGTGGTGCTCAGTTGGTAGAGCATGGTGCTTTCAACGGCAGAGAAGTTGGTTCGATTCCGGGGATAATAAATGTATGCACACATGACTGTAAGTCGCTTTGGATAAAAGTGTCTGCTAAATGGCGTATATTTAAGCAATAAGGCCAGAGGGGGTGTGGTATATGGCCATTATACCACGGCTAAAGCTTTGAACACACCGACTGCGTCATTGCACAAAATAGTATGCAGCATCATCTAGATGTGTGTGAAACAAAAGTTCAGCATTCACCTTCTGCTACCATTTCTGTCAACCCGTATACGCATACAGTTTGACCCATCCGTTCGATAAATCCAACGTATGCACCACACAGAACGCACTGCAACTGCCTCTGCAACGCAATGCTGCAAGGCAAATGCAGCGTTCCATTGGAATTAACTTCTGGTGTACCAAAATGCAATGACGCTGTCGGTGTGATCAAAGCGTAAGAACTGTTCTTTTGCACGACGCAACGCGGAGTGCCTGGAGACATCCCTTAGCCGTGGTATATTGGCCATATACCACAAACCCCTGAGGTGCCTTATTGTTATTATAATCTGGTTACCAAAACAATTAGAGCAGTAAAAATACATGTTTTGTCATACCCGTGGTATACGGTCTGATATACCACGGCTGTCAGCCAATCAGCATTCAGGGCTCGAACCACCCAGTTTATATTAATTGTTAGTGAAGAGACACAGACGAGTCCAGGCTGATATAAATATTTATTTATCTTCCAAAAGGAACATTGTGTGTTAAACGTGGAATTTATCTTCAGAGAGTTCATTTTAAAGGTAGACTCAGCTACATGACGTCATCATACACTGCGGGTCAACTTCCTGTTTAGAGACATCATCAACAGCAAAATGCTAATCTGTCACTGGCTCTTCCCAATATGGGCATGTCTCAACAAACAGTGCAAATTGTCTGTAAGCAGGAAGTTGCCCTGCTGTGTATGATGATGTCATTTTTCAGAGTCCACTTTTAGTATAAAAAATATACACAGTACCAGTCAAAAGGTTGGACACACCTACTCATTCAAGGGTTTTTCATTATTTTAGCTATTTTCTACATTGTATAATAATAGTGAAGACATCAAAACTATGAAATAACACTTATGGAATCATGTAGAAACCGCAAAAGTGTTAAACAAATCAAAAAATATTTTATATTTGAGATTCTTCAAAGTAGCCACCCTTTGTCTTGATGACAGCTTTGCACACTCTTGGCATTCTCTCAACCAGCTTCACCTGGAATGCTTTTCCAACAGTCTTGAAGGAGTTCCCACATATGCTGAGCACTTGTTGGCTGCTTTTCCTTCACTCTGCGGTCCAACTCATCCCAAACCATCTCAATTGGGTTGAGATCAGGGGATTGTGGAGGCCAGGTCATCTGATGCAGCACTCCATCACTCTCCTTCTTGGTCAAATATCCCTTACAAAGCCTTGAGGTGTGTTGGGTCATTGTTCTGTTGAAAAACAAATGATTGTCCCACTAAGCCCAAACCAGATGGGATGGTGTATCGCTGCAGAATGCTGTGGTAGCCATGCTGGTTAAGTGTGCCTTGAATTATAAATAAATCACAGACGTGTCAAA